GAGGGAAAAATAGCAAAGTATGTGAATTTACAGATGGAATAAATTATGATACTGAAGGTAGCAACTTGTATTAGCTTCAAAAATCCACTCCCTCAGGCCATTTTCACTGCCTGTATAACATGGCATAGCCCTCTTGATCTGTGTAACTTTACACAAGCAGAGAATTTGGTCATAAGTTTACCAGTCACATATTAAAACGTACAAAACATTTTTTGTCAAAATAAAATAAAATATTGCCAATCTTCCCTTGGCTACTCACGTTAAATTTTAAAGTAATAGTATATCAAGGCCGATATGAACAATAACTGCTAGTGGAATATATACCAAGAAATCTGGGAAGTCGAAGTTTCTTCAGGGATAAAAATCCCTTTCATTTAGGATCCCTCTTTACTGCAGGTGTTATACATCAAGATATCTAAAGCATGAATATGTTTACAGAAGATCAAAGTATCACCTAAAGATGCACTTTGTAATGGCGCACAGCTCATCTGTACAAACCTCAGAAATAATTTTCAGCTCTCTGTTTAGAGGAGGAATGGTACAATGAGATTACTCCCACCCCCTTTCTCAGTTTCATAGCACTTCTGGGTGTGTCTGCCCTAGCTTTTAGATCTCAGGTTAATTGAATGGTCATTAGCTTAGAGTAAAGAGCACATGTCTACTCTAGATCAAAGAACTGTCATGCACTTAGGGTAAAGAATAAATAGTTGTGGAAAAGTTTTGATATCAGTGGGAATGGTGAGTTCTTATCCTCAAAACACAAAGATAAGAAGCCTCATGTGGGTCCTCCAAAGTGTAGCACATTAATAAATACTTCAGACAATAGTGATTTTAATGAAGAAATTACTTAGTTCCCACATTCATGAAGTCCCACCACAGAAAAGCCAAAAACCTCATGGTCAAGCCATTCACCTGGGAAACTCAGGTGAGTGAGGCAGAGTATGGACTTGAACCTGGGTCTTTTGCATCCCAGATAAGCACCGTAATGAATGGGCTATTGATTATTCTGGAGTAGTAGATCTCTTTTCTCTGAAAAACTTTTAAAGTTCTGGATTTCCTCTTGATATGGAACAGGAACCATGTTTGAAATTTTGAAAAATTTAAAGGAAAGGAGGGGAAACCTTTTCCCTTCAGCTCTTCTTAGTTCTTGCCTTCCAAGAGATGCTTAAATCATTGCAAGATTGGCTGCTTGTTATTAGTCAAATCAGACAGATTAAACAAAATGAAATTGTACAAGATTAATCTATGTTTATATGTCTGCATCAATGAAATAATTATATTTAAAGTAACAAATTAACATATCATACTGACTGTGTGTCTAATTCAGTTCGCTATAACAACAACTGCAGTAATGTACCATTGCAACCACAGGGTAACATTAATAAAAAAGCTTCTCCTAAAACAAATAAACTAGATTAAGATAACTGAGCCTCACTATCCAAGTCCAGGAATATCCATTTGCTCATTGAAAATATGTAAACTTTCCTTTAACAGGCTGTTAAGAGCTTTCCCTTTCATATCAGCACCAAGGTTTTCCCTGTATTGTTCTCCCTGTATTGTTAATTTATTAATGTGCATTGTATAAAAACATTTTAATATTAATAAATATTATCTTCCAAAAGTGGATGAGAAAAAAAGTTCTCCACTTGTTATGGGGCATTTCAAATAATACATCTTGAGACCAGAAGCAATCTCAAAAACACAAGAACTTTGAGGTTTTTTCACTGAGATTTAGGCTTTTTAGGAGTCAAGTTATAGAGAACACATGGAGAAAAAGGCTGAGAGAAATAAGACGTGCCAATGTGATCAAAACGCCTAAAAGTTCAATAATTTCTAACTTCTAATAGCTGACTTCCTTCTTTGCTATGCACAGTAATCATTTAACAAGCTAATACTTAATTCTGGAATACCTATTTTCTCACAAGATACTACTATCATAAAGTATAATCTACAATTTATATGGCAATAATTCATTAAGGAAATCCAGTATACTGTACTAATGCTAAGCAACTGAATTCTGATGGATGATGATTTGGATACTTCTTAGTAAGTAATTTTTACTTATCAGAGCACAGCAATTTATTCATGGGACTGTAGCACTGTAAGAGAAATGTTGCATATATTAGAGTGTAAAAGGAAATTCAAATAGATTCTATTAATATGTTGAATTTTTTCCAATATAATGAAATGATAAATTGTAACCCAGAACAGCATTAAAACATTCCTGAGATATACTTTCAAATTAATCCTTTTGGGTAATTACAGATTATAAACCTGATATTACGTTGATCCAGCCCCAAATACATGTCGATATGACAGTTACAAACAAGAGGTGTCACCAGAAAGGTAAATATCTACTTGCAAACTATTTATCATTTACCTGGATATGGGATATTGTTCAATGTACACAGTATATCAAAAAATATTTTGTGATAAAGTATTGCTTTTAAATGGCAACCATTCTGCATGCAGTAATAGGAACAAAATTTATGGCTTTCAGTTTTAAAAAGAAATGCAGATCTACTACTTTATGTACAAGCAATTTCTGCTTTGTATTAGGAATTTTTCCTTACAGACATGTAATGGAAACAAGACGGTTATGAAGATTTGTGTTTGAGCATTCCCTCCCAATGAGCACTTAAGGAACATGTACACACATTCCAGTCACTGCATGTGACCCCGATTTTCTCTCCCCACCCACCCTCCGTAGTACTGGATGTTCAGAGAGAGTAGGCTGGCAGCCTTTATCAGAGAGGAGTAGGCTGGCAGCCTTTATCAGAATTCAGTTGCTTTTCTAGGATTCAGGTTCTTAGTTCCAATGAACAGCTTGGTGTCTGTAAAAGCAACTGGAAACTAAGGAGATCCCTCAGTTCTTTATGGTCCACTAATAACTATCCTGCAGATCACAGTTTGATAACCACTGCCCTAAGAAGAAAGCTTAGGCATTACTGAGGCTTACTCTGATATGGCTTAGCAGTGTGTTATGATGACACACACTGAATAATGACACAACATGCCATTATTGTGTCCTGTTTTGGTCATTTCATCTGATAGCGGGTTTTGAAGAGGCCCAAAGACAGCCAAGAAGGATAGTGAGAAAGCAAGATATACAAACAATAATTGAGAACACAAACTGTTTATTTGCCTTCAACCCATATCCTTAACATTTCCCTTTAATTTTTTTTCCTTGGAAGATGTACTGAGCTCTCTGTACCCAGCTAGCTGTTTGTCTGTTTATGACTTTACACAGCACCCTTTATTGTAATATCTAAACATCAAATTTAGTTTTATTTTTCCTAGAAAAGGAAAAGGTTAGAGGCAATTTGACAAAACATTTCAAAATTGTGGAGAGCACTGTGTAAAGAAATCAAGTCTTCTGTCTCCCCTCCTCCCTGCAAGAAGAGTGAAGAAAATTACTGAGCAATAGCACATATTTAGAACCAAGGAAAGAAAGTATTCTTTTGACCAGTCAACCTGTGGAATGCATTGACCCAAGAAGTGGCTCAATTTTAGAGGATGAAACTGCTAATAACAACTGCAGCTATGTAAGCTAAGATAATATCATGGGTAATCAAGCATCATGCTTTGCCTACAGTGATAAGGAAGAAATCCATTTCCTTCACCATTACCCATCTAGCTATGTACTTTATGGAAGAATTTTTAAATGTGTCTTGTCATTGCCTCTGCTGCCAGAGAAGATGGATAAATAATTTGACCCTTTGTTTCTGCTATGGCTTTTTCTCTTGCAAAATTAATTCTGAATCAGTGCATTTTATTTACTGCTCTCTGTATATATATTCCTAAGAAAAGTAAAATCCCAGGCTCATCTGATTTATTTAGACTGTCACAATAAGGACCTCCTTGTAGTTCACATGCATTTTTATTTTCAGAAATCCTCCTTCCTTTGTGTTATGTGATTGTCAGAAAGTTACAACAGACAATTTTTGTGTCAACACAGCCCATAGGCTTCAGCATGCAGTGTTGAGGATAGTTTGAATCGTGCTCCATCTGCCATCCCACACTGCTTTCCCTCATTTTAGGATTGACTGATCTGCATACCCCTCTCATTGCTCTGGGCCCATGTTGGCTGCATAGCAGCTCACTCTTTAAAAGCTGGCAGGCAGTCAAAAATAGTCTATCTGAAGTCCCTACAATTCCATCAAAGTGCTATATTTAACATTATTGCCCTACAGCACTGTATTGTGTTACATAACCACTTGGAGTTGTGCAGAAGTCAAGGATCTCATGGTAGTCTGGGATGAAGCAAAGATTCAGGAAACTCTTTAATAAACTTAATCAAAATTAAGACATATGTATGAAAGGTGGGCGAACCAGGGTTACACTTGAAACAGTCTGCAATACTGGATCTAGAGTTTGGGCTATGACACATCAGGGGACTCTGACAAAGAAGAGTCATTACACAACAACATGAGTGGACATGGGATCCCAAATTATATTAGCATGGATGTGCACCTTACTGGACCTGGGAAGAGGACCTTAGCCAGTAAGGACTCATGAAATCTGGTTTTATATAAATAATTGGAATGACATATTATGATATGTTAGTTTTTCATTGTGTATCCTGGATGCCACCATATGGGAGGCATAAACTAGTAGCAGCTACTCTGAACTTTTCCCTGCCTCTTCTTTTCTGTGCTCAAAACAGTGACAGTGGAAGGTGACCAGTTCTGAAGCCAAGCATTACTGTGGGCATTTATAAATTGTCTGGTCTCAGGCATGCCATACCTTATCTCTAGTTCTATGCTTTCCTTCCTGGACACCTCTCATGGCATGTCTTAAATCCCAATATATCCTAAAAAATACAGCAGGGATCAGTTCAAGACAACACTGACACAGTGAAAATGTAACAGCTCCATTTCCTTCAGCCTCCTGGCAACAAAAATATACCCCTTTTCCTGGCATTCCTTTCCAGCCTTCCAGCACAGTCAGTGTAACCATGCTTGTACCATAGAAGGGAACTTTTCAGAGTGCTTCTCTGAAGGTCAGTGAGATCTTCTTGAACATGCTCAGTAGGGATATGGTGGTGGCTGGAGACCACATTGGGTGTACCACTGAGTTCAAGGGCTTAAAAAAACCTCTGTCCTGGTAACTAGGCTGCAGTGTGCCAGAAGTTAGACCCAGACAGAAGTGTTCTGGGACAACTCTCCGTGAACAGGGGGCAAGGGCCAAGAGACTGCAGTGGACTATCCTACTGAAAATACTGACTGATCAGGGCTGTGTCAGCTCTGACTCCTGCTGCTAAAGAGAGATGTGTGTCCAGGTCCGAGCACCAGCTGGGAGCAAGAAGTGACACAAACATGTTAAATCTATCCAGAGGTTCCAGAGAAGATAGATTAAATCTGCTGTGAACCAGACTTGGAATATGAGGAATATCAGGGACGGTGAAGCTGGTAAGCAGCTTATTCACTACCAAGGAGCAATATAACGTATGTGTGTAAGTGTCTTGATTTTTAATGTTTTTCTTTGTAAGGTTTTCATTTTTAGTTTGTTGTTCATTTGTTATTGTTTTAGTTACTATAGTAAAAAGATACCTGGCATCAAATTTTCCTCAGTATCTCACATTTAGTGCTGCTGTTTTGTGTGTGTGCATGCATGTGTGTGTGAAGTGAGCCTTGGGGGGTTGTGCATTTGGTATTGCATAGCCCTTTCATAAGCACCCCTTCTTCATCCTGTCTGTGTTCAAAGTGGCCCACTCAGAATGCCAATATTTTTGTGCGAATGTGATTCTCTCATAGTCACTACCCACCCTTTCTTCTTCTTGGCTGCTCCCTGTGGTGGGTGCTCAAAGTAGAGATCTCACGCTATATACCCCATCCTCCTTTTTGTGCATCCTAATGAAACAGAAGTGAGTCTGAGAACAATGAAAACTAGACATTAGACATTTCTGTGACTTCCCAATAAGCTCTTGAATGACCACCTCTCTCCACTCTATGCGGGTATCTCCTTTGCCTTCACAAATTCTGTACAACACACAGCATACAAGGCATGTATTGCCAGGTACCCTCTAGACATGGTATGAGGCTATACCACATCTGCTTCAGTCTCTGAAACACACTTCAGCGCCATTCTCCATCTGGTTAAGGTATAATTAAATACTGTATTTACCTGAATCCAAATGACTTTGAATCCAAGATGACGCCCTGCAATAATTTGATTTCATATGTGGAAAAATTACATATATTTTTAATAATTTTCTATGTATACAATCTAATGATCAGAGGGTCATCTTAAATTTGTCTCCTCCACTGCTAGAGAGAGGAAAGCAGTGGCAAGGGGACAGGCAGCTGGAGGAGTGAGGGGGGCAGGCAGCCTTCTTGCCCCTGTCCCACTCCATATCTTCCTTCTACAGCTAGTCCACTCCCCCCTGCAGTGCCTGCCCACCCCTGTGCCTGCACCCTGCAGTGCCTGGCTCCCTCCAATGCCTGTCCTCAGCAGTCTCTTCCCTTTCCCCCTCCCCCCCACTCCACACAGCCTCTGGCCCATCCCTCCCCACCTCCTCTCTTACTGTTGGACATGGCTCCAGCTCCATTCCCTGCTGGGGCATGAACACATGAAAATGTGGCTTCTGCCTGGCCATGCAGCAGTATCCTGGGGCCTGGAGCGGCCACAGTTGCTGATTATCTGGCAGGGGATGGAGCTTCCATGTGCTCTGTGCCCCAGGAAGGAATGGAGCCAGAGCCATTCCTGACAGCAAGGGGGTGGGGGGAAGGGGCAGATACTACAGGGGCAGGTGGAAAGGTTAGGGGCTGTAGGGAGGAAAGCAGATGCTGTGGCTCTGGCTTTGAACCCAACCTGGGCTGGGGCTGGAGTCAGAACTGCAGTAGGTGCCTTCCCTCCCAATCAACCCTTCCTCCTCACCTTATATTCCAAGATGAGAGGCATTTCCCCCATGCTGAATGGGGGGAAGAAATCTTAACTTGAATTTGAGTAAATGCAGTAGTTCTTTTATACAATCCATTTGTTCAATAAAAAGTTTCATCTGCCTTTATCTGGGTAGCAGAGGACAACTGGCTCTACCACAACAACATGTGGGAACAAATCTATGTTTTTCAATAAATAAGAGATGCATGATTTCCAACAGGTCCTATCATCATCAATCTTCAAGTCCACCCTGCATTACTGTTGTTGAATCTGCTACAGTGACCCACTAGGTCCTCAAGTACAAGGAAAAAAATCCCTTTCAGAGGCCTAGCATAAGTGCAGGGAATAAACATATGGGCTCCATCAATTGCCCCATGCAGACAAAAATATCAATTAACTTACTGAGCTTTGGCAAGCCTTAGACCCTATGCTGACTGAAGTACACACTTTGATCACAACAGCCCCAGTAGTGGCTGGGTAGTAACTGATCAACAGTAAGCCTCCAAATGATGCTGATCACATATATCTGAACAGTTAGGAAAGTTTTCATGTTGGTGCCTTGCTGTTATTGCACTTCTGGGATGGGGTCTGCACAGACTTATTCAAAAGTGCCCTTTATCATCCTGGAATTCTGTAGCCACACCTCATCTTTCCACTGTCCTCCCATCTCCCACCAGCTGTTACCCAAGAAATGGTGTTCTGCCAACCAAAACAGATCGAATAAAAGTTCCTCCAGGACAAAGCGGTCTACTTCTTCCTCATCATCTTTCTGTTGCGGATGTACCTTCAGACAGAGTAGCTGCTGCTGATGCAGCCAAAAACATTGCAGTATGTGCTTAGTAGCCTGGCAGATGACCTCTAAAGTGATACCACTCAGCAGCAAGATGTCAAATACATTGCCAAAAGCCTCTGCCTACTTATGATGACCAAGACTGAGACATATTTCATTTATGCTGGTAGGGAACTTTGAAAAGCAGCAGGTAGCAAAAGAAGGGTGATGAGAGAGGGATTATGGGAATCTGAGAGTTTGGCCAAGTCCCAGAATTCCTGCCAATACTGGAATTCATGACATATGCCACAATGTGTTGTAGGACAAGTCCCATACTTCATAGGGTCCATTAATTGGACAAAGGAGCCTGGATATCTGCTGTTAATGCTTGTGAGAGCAATGAGTCTTGTTGTGTAATATGAGATTTCTGGTGGTAAGGACATTGCAAGGGCACATCATCAACACAGAAAAGTTATCTACTTCATCATGTAGACAAACCATTAATTTATCAGTCTTTATTCCTCATGATGAATCCAATTCAGGGCTGCATGCTGCCATTCAGCCTCAGTCCCTTCTACCTTTCCATTCAGCTGAGAGAGGGAGAGGAAAAGAAAGGTAATTGGGATTGGAGCTGGAACATCAGACACCCAGCAGCAATCTAGGTACCCTGCACTGTACCCTCTCCACACACATACTTTTTTGCTCTGGGCTCTTGGTCTGCTCTACTGTCTATTGCCCATCTTTGTAGAGGCAAAGGTAGAGCTGAGAACAGAGCCACAGGTACCCCTAGCCAATTATGGAGGAGGCTGCAGCAATTTGAAACATTCCAGTGGGAGCAGAACAGAGGGGTGTATGTGTCCTGGCTGAAACATTTGCTATATGAAAGGTTCTCGGTATGTTTTACTCAAAAACATTTTAGTTGCTAAGTCTGTCCATGCTAGGAGCCTCCTTTGTCCTAGTATCTTCATTAACTATCTGGAAGATGGGAAGGATTTAACCCTCAGCAAGTTTGTGGATGACACCAAGCTGGTGGGAGTAGTAAATTCACTGGAGGGTAGGACTAGGATGCAGAGTGACCTAAACAAATTGAAAGATTGGTCCTAAAGAAATCTCAGGAGGTTCAACAAGGGTAAGTGCACAAGTCCTGTCCTTAGGACAGAGGAATCCCATGCACTGCTACAGCTTGGAGACTGACTGGCTAAGCAGCAGTTCTCCAGAAAAAGACCAGGGAGTTACAGTGGACAATAAGACAGATATGAGTCAGCGATGTGACTTTGTTGCCAAGAAGGCTAACAGCATACTGGGCTGCTTAGTAGGAGTGTTGCAAGCAGATCATGGGAAGTGACTATTCCCCTCTATTCAGGACTAGTGAGGACATGTCTGGAGTACTGTGTCCAGTTTTGGGCCCCTCACTACAGAAAGGATGTGGACAAATTAGAAATAGTTCAGTGGAGGGCAATGAAAACGGTTAAGGGGCTGGGGCACATAATTTATGAGGAGAGGGTGAGGGAACTAGTCTTATTTAGTCTGGAGAAGAGAAGACTGAGGGGAAATACAAGGCTTCAACTACCTGAAGAGGGGTTCAAAAGAGGATGGAGCTAGACTGTTCCCCGTGGTGACAGCTGACAGAACAAGGAACAATAGCTTCAAGTTGCAGCAAGGGAGGTTTAGGTTGGATATTAGGAATAATTTTCTTACTGGGAGGGTGGTGAAGCTCTGGAACATGTTACCTAGAAAGGTGGTTGAATCTCTATCCTCGGAGGTTTTTAAGGCTTGGCTTGACAAAGCCCTGGCTGGAATGATGTAGTTGGGGATGGTTCTGCTTTGAACAGGAGATTGGACTAGATGACCTCCTGAAGTCCCTTTCAACCCTGATTTTCTATTATCTATGATTATCAGTTATGTTTATATCCGAGCTCCAAAACTCTCAGGATGGAAGATTACAACTGGTAGCTTACAGCTGTTTTATCCCTTTCCCTTCCTCTCACATGCACCTAATTCCAGGCTCTAAGGGCATAGGCATATCTCTCCAGCAGCTCTGCAGGAAAAGCAGGCTTACCTGCCCACTTATGTACCACTCAGAAATGTTCTGGAGGATGTTTCCTACCATGGTTACAAAGCATACTATGGACAGAGATCTTGAGAGCAGGTGTGAATGACCACTCACTGTGTCTTTACCGCTTAATTTTCTCAGGTTTGTCCCATGTAAAGTGGGAATAAGTGGGTGGGACCTGAGTTCCCTGCACATTTGGCAGAGGCAGGGAAGTAAGATATATACAGCCATAGGCAATGTGTAGGGAGGGACATGGGGGGGTGCATGTGCCCCCCTTGAGATTGGCACTCGCCAGCTGGGTAATGAGGGGTGATAGCTGGTGTCCCCCTGAGCATGTGAGGGCATCTAGAGAAGCGCCAGCAACAGCAATTGGCTGCTGGGGGACCCCCCCTGGGTCGGTGATCTGCCGCTGGTGCCCCCCAGGATCAGGAGGCACCAGTCACCCATGTATACAACAGCAAGAATCTCACCCTGGATTCTTAATAAGTCACCTACTTCATGAAGAGAATGTCAGATTTCCAGGAAATCAATGTTATTCAATAGAATCCACTTTGGGGGCCAAAAAAATCTCATGTGTTAAGTAAAGATTTGTAATACTCCACAGTTTTGTACTTTTGACTTTTTTATGTTACCACAATTTCTATAAAATTTGTGAAAGAATTAATTATAATATTAGGAGAAATATAACCATCTTGGTTGGGTTGTCATTATGTGAGATGCAGAAACATCTTTCAGTAACAGAAAGGATAAAATTTTCAAGAGAACTGAGGCTGGCAGTTAACAAGCAGATGGCATTAGCAATGTTCCAGTAGTTATCAAAACCTATTTTGCTGAGAGATTTGCATTTGAATGCATATTCATTCTTCACCTCTTATCTATCTTAACTTTGACTTTGGATATATATACAACCACTCATCAACCTGGATCTAATAATTGGGTTTAGCTAGAAGTGCCATTCTGTAGCAGCTGAAAGTCAAACAGTGACTCTGTGGAGCCCTACTGAAGTCAATTGGGGTCTGCATGGGGGCATGTTATGTACCAACTTAATTGCAGAACTGGAACTATAGATACTAAGTTGGACTCTCCCTAAGAGTAGAATGCTTATTTTAGGTCCCTTGGCATACTGCAGTTAATTTATCTGTAGTAGAAAATTTACTTTCTAAGCTTTGCCAAACTATAATAGATTTTTTTTTTGGTATGAATGTGATAGAAATTAGATTCTGGGCCATATTCAATTAAAAGTGCTACGTATTTCCTTTCCCCTTCATTTAAAAAAAAAAAGTCATCTTAGATATTGAATGATTGATTTATTAGAATAAGAATGAATTGGGAGAAGGGCAGAGATTACCATTCCTCTTCCTGTGAAATTTCTAATAATCACTAAAAGGAAAAATAAGGTCCTTTCTGTTTCAGTGAAAAGTAATGCTTTCTTAATTCTAGAATGCTAGACTCACAGGAACAATGATCAAAGATGATTTAATAACTGACTGTTATGGTGAAGGACTTAGGACGCAAACATTTTACAAAATTATTTTAAGCATAATTTTGTTTTGTTTTCATTAACGTCTTTAAATGGCAATACTACTAACCATATGTATGAACTCACTACTGTTTTTGATGCTTTCCCTTGCTTCATTCTTTGCTCCCTGAAACAATGGCCTATAGAAGAGACAAGTTGGGGAGATAAATTTGAAAAGCATCTAGATAACTCTGTAGCCTTAAAAGT